GCTAATATTGCCTCATAATGTTACATCAATGTCAGACAGTCAACAGAGGCTCAACCTCTTTTCACAGTTTTTGTGCAGCTTTGTCTCCAACATATTTAGTGCAAATGTGTGTAAGTGGCAGGAAAAAGGGAGGCGATTAATACATTGGTCAAGTTCCTCTTCTGATCATAGTTACCCTTATCCATACATGAACTACAGATGATATCCATATTGCATAGCTGGATCAGGTATCGTGACAATTGGCCGATCTGGTATTGGATGCCATTATTTTAATAAATAAAAATACATTTATATCCATGTATTTATTGGTTACATTTTGTTTGATAAAGTTAAGAAAGCTTTAAGTCAGGTTTGATGTTTCCTTACACATTAAGGCACACGGCTTATTAATCACACACTGGACTTTATACCGGGCGATGCCCAGGTATCGCTATCGGGAATGAAGGACTTTGATCGTAATAGCGGTGTAACTACTATAACAAAGTAAAAGAACAACATTTAGACATTTTGTTTTATGGTTTACATCGACTACAATGATTTTTTTGGACGGTCTTGTAGATCAGCTGTATAATCAAACAACAAAGGGATCCGTTTCTATCAATATAGATCATCAATGATCAGCAATTAGTATCGGCGACAATAAGCTATGTTTTTTCTTTTGTGCTGATCCGATCCAAACCATGAGTTTTATGATGCGTTGCAGCACTAATCCCAAACCAAGCTTTTTAAATCTCCCGAGGCTCAGCTGTATAGTGCTGCTACCGTCAGATACATTCTGCCCGAGCCACGGCGCTGCTGTAGGACCACTGCGTCACTGGATGCGTGGCCGCCGTCAAACTGTACGAGGACTTCATTTTGGAAGTGCATAGACTCAGAAGAGAGGCGCTTGGATACTGCAAAAGGTTACTTTTCACACAGATGACTAAGCACTGTGATGTGAAATGGTTTCCTGCTCACATTCACAAACAGAGATGATCTATTTAACAGAGCGCTGGGTGAAAGAAACCATGCATTAAGAGAAGAGGGACAAAGAAAATGAAATAAACTGCCACAGATTCAGAGAACAGTATGTCCCCCCTCACCAAAAGAAATGCGTCTCGTTCCCACCGTTGTAAATATCGTATGTATGAAGCTCATGCAATAAGAGTGTGGATCAATCGAGATGGCCACTGCTGTGTTTTATTACCCCGGAGGAGAAAAAAAGGGCCCGCTCTGTGCTTTTCATGGCTGTTAGCTCTGACGTTTCTCAGATGTCGGTGACTCAGAGCTCAGGTTTCTCACTATTTGTTCCTCTTAATTGTTTACCATGCGTTGACGTGAACTAGCAGCTGGGTGGACAGGAAGCGGGAGCCAAATTACGCGGGGGGGGGGGGAATCCTGCCAGTGGCGGAACTAGCCAGGAACCAAACCCGGCCTCCCTGCAGCTGATGGCGTACGTTACATGCGCAATGATAAGTCGAGGCAATCTGATGATCCTCCACCCTCCAAGATCCCCTGGAAACGCTGCATGACAGGAAAGTAGTGAGGTGTTCATGCTGCAGCAAGTCCTAGTAAGAAGTATCTGCAGCAGCAAGTCCTTGTAAGTAGAAGTAGTATCTTCTTAGCCATGTTAAGTCACATTTTGTTTTATGGATTTATCGGAGGAAATGTTATCAAAGCACAAGCTCTATGATCTGAAACATGAGCCACGCGGTGTTTTCAGCTTTCTGTTTTATACGTTACACTTGCTTTGTTTTTCCACTATTTTTTCTATATTGATTCCTATGCCGGTCTATATTTATGTGTGATAAACCACGTCATCAACCACTACTGACCAACGATGACTAAGGGCAGTGATCATCGGCCACATACGGCCCACCGAAGCTTCCCATCCAGCATGTCGCAGACTGCCTCCCTGGCTGAGAGTATTTGCTAACTATTACTATGGATTTCACATATTTTATGTTCACACTGATATAAGTTAATAACAATCACTAACAATATGCTAATTATGCATAGAAGATTTATTTTTTTTGCTTACAAAAATTCCTGTCCTTGGACAACTGTAGGAAATGACCCCTGATGGGCCGAAACATAAAGTGTTACATATTAGTGTTTAGTGTTATTTGTTTAAATGATGCTTGATTATGTGAGGTCTGGTACTAAGAAAACAAGAAATACCTGCTATTCTATTAATTTCATGTCGTCATTAGTTTGGTGCATCTGGACTTTGTCATGTCTCTGCTTCTTTCTAAATTTGACGCAACATCACTGAACTCCTTTTAAATAAGATTCATTATAAAATCAATAACAGCCACTCCAGTATTGATCTGGCTACATGGTTAGGATCATTGTCCAATAAGTAAGGATGCTGCTGTGACTTTGCGTGTTTTTGACTGTGCCGTTTGCTCCCTTCTTTAAAAAGAACCCTCCGGTCCAGGGAGGTGAGAGGCTATTACAGTCGTGACACCGAGCTCTCCACTACAGCTTGACTATTCTTTTTTTTCTTCAATCAGACCACATTATCTTTTGGCTCTTGCCCTCTCAAAATTTCACATGAATTTCTGCAAATAGCAGGCATGCAGTCACGCGCTCTTGTTCTCCTCAGGAGAGCCTTCCATCTGGCTCCAGACATGTGAAGAGCTGCACCGAGTGCAGTCCTCCTAGAGGACTAGTTCAGGTACTTTACACTAATGTCGGAGCCGTCCTTGGGCTCCAGGTCAGCCTCCTAGCTCAGGTCCTTCTAGCTTGGTCACTTTGTCAAAGTGCTCTCGGGAAAATTCAAGGTAGTTTCACGTTTGGCCATTTTTAATGATAAAGCCTTATGTGCTCCTCCATAAATGTATGTTTTACTCTTTTCCACGGGTACTTTCCTCCCAGGTTTGTCTTGCTCCATGTAGCCAGATTGTTAGCAGTAAAATACAGACGACCAGATTTGGATTTCAAATTTTAGAATTTGATATGAAGAATACAAATTTGTCATTTTAGTGCAAAACAAAAAGCAATTGATTGTGTTACAAACATGTGAACACAGTTCTTATGCTAAAAATGTACAATTCAAATCACTTTACCACCACTACTCATTTATTTTGTGACTTTATTATTAGTTATATTATGACATAATTCACCATTTTAATCTAACAAAACGTTCTGCTTGTTTGACTAATGTTATGCCAGTTTACGTAATATGTAAGGGACCATGTTCTACAATATTGAACAGAAATAATTAGTTGTATTGTACTAGAGTTTGCTTTACTAGAGTAGTGCATGTACTTGAACGCTTATTGAGTGGAGCTCAGATCAGCATCGGTTGGTTTGCATGATGAAATATGCAGCACTTCTCAGTATTGGTGCAGTAGCACTGTTGTGGTTATTCTCCCTGGCTTTGGGAGGAAAGTGTCCTAAACACTGAGTCACGCACTGTCCACCTCCTCACAACAGGTGACAAACAGTGGGCCGCCCCCATCTTCACAGACCAGTCGGTGGCGGACCAGGCGACAAGCAGAGCGGGCTGCGTTTGTTTTGGTGTTTTTTTCTTTTGTCACAACATCTTGAGTCCTCAGGCAACATGTCCAAGGCCCCGTCTCCTGTGTGTGGCTACAGCGTACGAGGCCAGCACTAAAGACGGCCGAGTCGGGGGTGAGGTCTCACTATACCACAGTAACATTAGCCCACGCATGGCCACGAGCAGACCAGACCACACACACACAGACACACTCACGGCTGTGTGTGCTCCCTGTTCAATTTGTAGAGACTATTCAATGCCGAGTGTTCTCTCACACAACCGGAGCAAACGGCTTCTTTTTGTATTTTGAATCTCAGCTCATGTTTTTAGAAGATTTACAAAATGACATGATTATGTTTGACAAACATTAGAATAGAAAGGGAATTCAAACCAATTGAAAAACACTTTCTCTATACTTTTCTTTCAACGCTGTCCCTATAAAGTCTTGAAAAATCTTTGAGTTTATAGTCAGAGATGTTGGATGATTCCTGGGTTTGCACGGCACAAAGTCATACCCAAGGAGTGACAACCCCCCCGATACTATACTTTGGAAAATAACTGCCAATGAACCATTTCTACTTCTAAAAGGTTTTTTTTTTTTTTTTTTATCACTTTCAGTCGTTCAGGTTACAAACAGACTTTGAATATTGACGCAAGCACAAAAGAACATGAACGCATTAAATGGACGGCCTCATGAAAAAGGGTAATGAACAAAATGGAAGAAAATATACATAGCCATCAGCACAGACAACAGCTAAGTACATAAGCCATTAGCTGGGCTTAAACATTGACAGAAACGGACTGATTCATCCGTTACCAATATAGCTACAAACCAAACGGCAAGAGCTGGAACAACATAAGGGGGGGGATGGAAGCAGTGAATCACACTGTAGCCAAAGTCATCTCTAAAAAGGAATCATCTCAGGTAATGACCCCAAGACAACAGCTTCCTCTCTGACTCACAATAATTGGTCCAACAGAGCGTTACTACCGAGCCGAGGCAGGAAGATAGAAACCAAGAACAAAGAATTAGGTGTCAGAGGAGGGAGGGGTCAGCCATCGCTGTGAATCCTCTTCACTGTCACCACCGTCCTGCCTCGCACTGTCAGGGCCCCAGACCCCTCCAGTGGTTCCTGCGCCTCGCTCTGCAGCTGTCAGGATATTTACACACCTCCTCAGACACACACGAGCGCCGTCTTATTCGCAATGACACGCAAAACAGCGGTCCTTAAAAAGCCCGATATCGAATAATAATCCCCTATCACGATCAGTAGTCAGACGCCCTAAAATGAGTCACAAGATCGCCTTCTGTGCCATATGAGCTTTCACAAGGTACTAAAAACTCTCACAATAAAAAGGAAGCACGCCATTCAGTGCACATTTACAACAAGTAAACTAACATGTAGGTACAAAGCTTCAACGATCTTTTGATTTTGCAAACAAAAACAATAGAACCATGCCAAAAATTTAAGCAACCATAAAATACTTTCAAAATATATATTGGTACACACGTTACCTTTAGGGGAAAGTCCATCTAAGGCAAGCTAACCCTGCTAGCATTAGCCAACTGCACACTCACACCCAGCTCCTCACGGTCAAAAGGTAAAAACTGAGGTAATAAGGGATTATATGTGCAAGGACATGCACCCGTAGAGCTGTGCTGAAAATGCTGGCTACAGATAGATGACGCTGGCCATGGAAGCGCAGCGCATAATATCCAGCTCTGGCAGCATTTCAGAGAAAACTACACACGTAATGGGTGCTGCCCAAAAGCTTTGGCCTCGTATTGCTGCCCGTTCGCTGTCGCTGATGCAGCAGGAGGCATGTTTTGACAAAGGGTCCTCTCTACTTGGAATAAATTATTCTTTTCTATCTATTGCTATTTTGTCATTGATAATATTGTTGTTGTTTTTTTAAGCTACCGCAATTCAAACCTCATAGAATTTATTTCATGTGGAATTAAAAACATCAAATCAATGAATTGTCTCAGCATCCGATTGTATACAATGTATGCTGGGTATTGATATGTCTGAGAGGTATATACAGTAATACCTCTGGTGCATAAACAAAGCCATCGTGCTGTCGTTGGACAAACACAGAAGCCGCTCTGTGTTATCCGATACTTGTTATTCCTCCTCGTAGCACATTTCAGCCATCATGAACATGCAGCGTCTCAAATTGGTCCGGGCAGCAGGGTGGCAATGACGTGAGCCAGGTAGGAACTGTTTTCCTCCAACTCTGACAAATAAAATAAAAAACCGTAAACACAGACAGGGGACGAGCACAGGTAATCAGGTAACCTTTGCGGGAGAGGGGGGGAGGTAACTGAATTCCATGAGAACACCACCATCACAACCCAACCAGCTAAACCCGATCTCTGCGTGAACAAAGCCAGATCCAGGCCAGGGGGATTTTTCCACTGAGGAAAAAGACGAGACGACTGGAAAGGCCCGTTTATGGGGCAGAGCTAATATTAGCGAGTCTTATCTAGACGAACTGCATAAGCCTGAGGAAATGACGGAAAAGATGGAACTGTTGGGTACCACCCGTCTCCAGAAAGAAGTCATGGAAACTTAAGCAAATTGAACAGATGACCATCAAAAATGACAGAGAAATAGCCTGGGCTTGTCAGGGCCACTCAATCTCACGCTGATACTGACGAGAGGCGATCAGCTCATATCCTGCACCCATACAGCCGAGGCTGCTATCAAAACCGAGAGAGTTGTGGTTCCTGACTAACGAGCACCTGTTGCCTGTGAAATATGCTGCTGGGAGAGGACAGCGGGTCCGTTTGGGCTGTTTCAGTACTCGTTTCAATACTTACTCAAATGTGCATGTTTTGTTTAGCAGGTTTCACACGAGGTGCATGTTGTATGCCGTTGTCAAAGTGAGTTGGATGGAAACAATAGCGCAGATGGAGTTCGCAGCAGCCCGATAAGAGTCAAAAGAGTATTTTTGAAAATATTGCTGGAGTAAGTTGAGGCTAAATATAAACAAATTAATTCAAATTAAACCAATTTACACAGCGGCATCTGATTTTTCTACAGTGATTATATTAACAGACTCTCCATGCAGGCGACTTTTGATTCATTATCCCCTGACCCACACACAACCCTGGCTCCAGCCTCTGCTGCACTACATATCAGGCCAAATAGCACATTAGTGTTTCCCTGCTGCGCTGGTCAAACCATACACGGTGTCACTGCCTCTAGTGTTTCTATTGGAGTACGTGCTCAAGTGCACAGGTCTGCTGAAATTTCCCAATTTCACTGATTAAGTCTGTGAATGTAGTGCATTTTAATGCATTGATATTCATGGTTTTGCAAAGCAGCCCAGTGTAATGCATTAAATTGTTCAAATATCTCTGACAAACACACATAAAACTAGCTCAAGCTATTATAGCTTTTTTCCTTCTACATCGTAGGAACACAAAATAGTTCAATAAAAGGCCAACAAGAGAGAAAATAAGCCAGAGGCTCTGCTCCTAACAAATTCCTTCAACTGGAATAACAAGGCAGACTGCATAAAGATTGATGATGCAGCGACTGAGACCAATAGCAGGGAGACATGAGTGTACCTGCTGGGGGCCCTCCCCATTGACCATGGTTGGGGGCGGTGGTGAGGCCAGCATTTGGAGTTCAGGGCTGAGAAGCTGGCCAGACTCCAGAGGTGAGGTGTGGTCTGCCATGTCTCCTTCATTCACACCAGTGAAGAGGAACTCCTGCAACCAAGACAATGCAATCAGTGAAAATGCACAAAAGTATACCACCAAGACATGTGGCATCATCGTCATTAGACCAGTGCTGAGAACTACATTACCCAGAATGACCACAGGATGTGGTTTCTCTCTCCTCCTCACCCATCTGTATAATGTTGGGTTGTGAATGCCTTTAATGTGAACTACACACAAATTGTGAATCGCTATACGTGTATCAAAATTATGATTAACTAAGCTTATTCTGAAGTGTGATTTCTTTATGTTTCACAGGTTTAATAATACAACAAAAACAGAAACATTATTGCTGTTATTGGCTTTAAGATTTAGGCAGGTTATGAAAATGAAGGATCCTTTCTGGATGGATGAAGGACGGATATTTGTACCGATTACTACTGCAAACAATATGACAGAGTGACAATATACAATACAATATAAAAGAGACACTGTAAATATTATTTGTAAACAATTGTCGGGCAATGGGACACAAATAACCTCTAAATGCACTGTTCTCCGTAAAGACGTTGCGACTCGCTGAACCGCACTGAGTGGGAATTTGGAGCACGTGATAATTCATTTCAAAGCACATCCACCGTTCTCCACTGCCAGTCACGCACCGGCAGCATTTTGGCACAGCAGCCCAGTTCAGCTGACTGAAAAAAGATATTCCATCCAAACTAAAGTGATTGCAAACCAAATACAGGGTTGATCAGATGCATTTCCTTACGAGCGTGTCAATAGACAACATTGACACGGAGTCAACCTTGTCTATTAATCCTATTTGGTACTTGCCTCTGCTGCATGCTCCACTTGCATGGAATTTGTGTCTCAATTTTCATTAATGTGATGCAAAACTAAGTTTCTGTTTTAACAACAATAAATCACAGCTAAATTAAAGAAAAGTAGTTATTGATATGTACCCGTTTCCTGTCATATACGGGAAAGGTCTCCCTTTCTAAGAAAGTTAGATAAACTTAATTGTTATTTTAAAGACATCGTTGCATATGAAAACATGCTAACCCCTTCTACTGAAAAAATGAATTGTTTCTCAGGCCACATAACACATACTGCGGTCCAATGTGTGCTCACATCCTTCACATAAACAACCACAAATATTCAAAAGCTGACCCTGGAGGCATACAAATTCAAGCAATCGACAAATGCATATCAACAAAGAGGGATAATACGTAAGCTCATGTCAAGTCAAACCCTGTGAGAGTAAACAGGGAAGATACAGAGCCTTTAGATACACTGCAATGACATGAGCCTAACAAAGGGCCACGCTGACTGATCACTTGTGAAAAACACATACACCAACTCTGGCTCTCAGAAATTCTGTCAAAAAAACAACAGAACAGCACGAGAGAAATGTAACATGTGTCCTTGAACCTAATTACAATCTAGCGCATGCGCCCTTAAACCTCCCGGTGATCTGGCTTATCAGTTAGCTTTAGCCCCTCCCATCCTTAAGCTTAAACAACAAAGTCAGTTCACCGGGTGATGGTCATTATAATGGGTTTGAGGGAACCATTACTAGCAGCGGGGGACCGACATGTGATATCATGAGGCCCTCTGAGTCAATCCCTTGGCACATTACTCTCCAACACATTGATTCATGCTCAAGTCGAAAATAAGTTTGCCAAGACCGCTCACACAACAGCTAGCGAGGTGTTAGTGACAGAGGAAAGGGGAATCCCCAATCACACACTTCATGAAACTCCAAATTGGCACTTTATACTCGTGGTGGAAAATAAGATTTGAGGGTTAATTAACCCAGAAATGACATCATCTCATAAGGGTGGAATCAAGTTGTTTTTTTTACACACCAGTTTTTAGTACCTGTGGAGGCTGAATGCGTGCTAACAACACACAGTGGAGGTACTTTCCCATCTTTGCTCCTGTCCCTTCTATAGGATAAGACGTGGCTATAAAAGTTGATAAATAATCAGGTCACCACAGCCTCCAGTGTTAAAAGTCCATTGCGGTTGACTTTAACTATGCAACAGCCTTTTCCTGTTGCAGCACAATAAACATTACTTATGCAACATCTGTTGTTGACTGTAGATCCTATTTGACTGTAGCTAATGGAGGAGTCAACCAGGGCACAACAGCTGTTTTTCAGTTACAGTTTTGGTGAGATGGGGAAAACACCCCGAATGGGTAGAATAATAGCACATTGTGTCTAGCCAGCACTTATGTTTATTCCTTGTTGTGAAGTAGAAAAAGTGGCATAACGTCAGTTTCTAATGACGATTAAAAAGGTTTAAACCAATTCGGCGGGTTACCTTTAAACACCTGGAGAAATGTTTCTCTATGGCGGACAGCTTCACATGGTGTAACAGCTGCTCATGTATTTGACCCACTAAGCTAAACCTATCTCTGCTTCCTTACAACGTAACGCTGTATCAACTAAAAGCATGTTAAACATGTCGCACTGGTAACACTAAAGTCAATGTTCAGAGGTAATGTTCCTTATTTTTTTTGTTGCAATGGCTGACGTTAAATTACCCACCGTTAGGTTAGCTACCTCGCAGCCAATAGAAGCGTTTACTCTAGCTACAGGTGTGTGTGCTTAACGTTATGTCACAACGTTAGCTGCTCGTTTTCTAATTGCAACATAACACGGAAGTTAGCTCATTCACGAACGATAACCTTAGAGTTTTACTTCGAGTCCCTCGTATGAAATGCACCATAGACTGTAACATAAGTGGGTTATTGTCAGCTAGCGTTACTCACTCTGTCAGTCGGCACAGCAGTAGTAGCAGTCTTCACAGACACGCCGATGCACAGCGATGATTCCTCTGCAGCTCTTCCGGAAATGTTTCACGTCAGCGAGCTCCGATGACCAGCTACTCTCTGCAACACCTGAGACGGATACCTCGCTAGCTACCTAGATAAACACAAGACAAGGCGAGATGTGACATGCTAGCGTGAGCTACCTAATGCTACCAAGCTAACAGTTAGCAAGATGAAGATGTTGCTTTTTCTCGTAATTTCAACGACAGCCGCTCGCATCGGCTGCACCTAAAACACAGCGAAGTTACTAGCGAGCACCGGTGATGGTGTTAAGCATCGGTAATGTCAGCCTGGTTGACAGTTTTATCGACGTAACTTTCCATCCAACCCTGCTCCTCGCAAAAAAAGTCAGGAATTTCACCATCGCTTACGGGGCTCTGTGTGCGCATGCGTGTGGTACAGCAAGTCATGACGAATCCCAAATTCCAAGATAGCGAAGAGAAACATTTATAATATTGTCACGCCGTTGTAATTTAGCTTGTGTCGTGGTTGTGGTCAGTACACCGTACCGTTAATTAATAAACGTCATCTGTCTGTCTACGTGTTCAGGGTTTTAAGGAGGAACTAAAGGTTGACGTGTCCGTGATCGGTTTGTTGACCAAGTAATTCGCAGATAAACATGAAACAAACGAGTCAGAAACACATTCAATTGTTAATGTGATCTTCAGTCCTGCTCTTCCGAACAGTGAATTATTCACAGGTCCACCTTCACAGCATCATATTGCCTTCAAAGGATACAGATCTTCCATTTTTCTCCACATTCCTTGTACAGAAAATATATTCACTTTAAGTACCAATAAGTAAACTGGAAATAAATTAATTTCAAGTATGTTTTGTGCATTTTTTTTCATTCATTACGAAATAATATTTGAGTATATGTCTGTCTGTCTGTCTGTCTGTCTATCTATCTATCTATCTATCTATCTATCTATCTATCTATCTATCTATCTATCTATCTTATATTAAGTCATAATGTCTCCCATGTGTGACATTATATATGAAAGATATAAATTGTGGTTGCATATGGATGCTTAAATGTCCATGACTATACCTCCCGATTGACACAAAGTCCCAGGAAGTTGACACTGAGGTTTGACAGGAAACATCACAATCAATCAATCACAACTCAGTATCACAATACATACTTTTAAGTAAATTCACGTAGCATGTCCGGTTGTGTGCAGCCCTTTACATTCCATGGTATGCAACAGTGCCGAACTCCAACTTAGACATGCAGAACAATTGTTAAACCACAACCTGTGGTACAGCCAAACAACATATTAAGGAGCTGTATTATGTAAAGTGAGTGGCATCAAAATTAAATATTTCAATAAAGTGTTTTTATTTTACCCAATAAACAAACATGTGCAAACACTAGCTGTAATATAGACTGTGTCTAAAGGTGCACGTGGAAATGGAAGTACTTTTTGAAATATATTAATATTAGTTCATTTATAAGACACTAATTATACTCACCGACACATAGGCTATGAATTTATCTTCAAATAAAATACCAGCACGTCAAATTACAGTCTGTAAAGCTTTGGCATAAACAAGTGCAATAAGTCATGAATTGATACGCTATCCATGGCTCCACCTGCTGGTTGCTGTATGTTACATGCAGTTTAAGTGATGTATTTGTTAGTTTTACATTTCAGTTAACTAGTAAAGCATGTTTGTCATCCCTTTGTTTCTCTGTTTTTATATTTTTTTGTACCGTTTATATATCGTCACATAAGTGGTGGACTAGTAATTATCTCTATGACAACATTAAACATAAATGTCTCTGTACTGTATTTTGTTTCTGTGAACAACAATGGATACTGAAAAAAACCACCAACACCAGGTTAAGTTATCCTAGCAGGAAAAACATTTAAATCAGATATGATCATTTCAATATCATAACTCAGTCACATTATACACATTGTTCCATATTCTGCTAAATTCTGCATATTTTTTTAAGCCCATATATTCATGTTGTTAAATTCCCTCTTGAACACAGTATTCAAGACAGGAGGCTGATGATCATTTGCAGTCATTTGCAGCCCATAGAGTTACTGAAATGCTATACCCCTGAAGGAAGAGGTGTGTTTTGTAGATGTGAAAATACTACAATAACTCAAATGTAATTATTATTTAATACACAATAATGAATCTCCTATGCATCGATTGGTTAAGATTGTTGGTGACGAAAGACTACAAGCTGGATGATAGTCTAAAAGTCTAGCCTAATTGAATCATAAATATTTAGATCTGATTTGTGATCTAAAACATCAACATGTTTGCCATCACTGTGACAAGCGTATATCAGAGAAATGGAATTGAGATCAGGGTGTTGGAGGTGGGTTGTTTAATGCACGCTAACATGTCACACATGCTAACATATTGCATGCTAAATGTAAATGTATGCATGCTGCCATGCTGCCATAAGCATTTCATTCTGAGCACAGCTTGGCCCGAGTACAGCTCAGAATGATGAAAGTCGAGCCAAGTCTGACAAAAGAGCTGAGACCAAGATGTCCCATAAGGACCACCATACAGAGATTGAACCCTTTTTGGGTTACATTACCTCTCCTCTGGCACCACCCTCAGGTTAACTTTTACACTTTTTGTCCCATTTTTAATCCATCCGACCATTGTTTTTGGTGTGTAATGAGCATCAGAGCTGCATGGAGAGGTGTCACATTTAGACATGTTTGTTTTCACTAAGCTGATTTAGAGACAACTACATAATAATAAAAAAAATCCTCATTCTGTGTAAAACTAATTCAAAGCAAAGTGACTTTAGTAGGCAAAAGAGGATGCATAGGGAAGTTACACAGATACATTAAGATAAATAGTCAAAGTGTGAATAATGTCATGAAAGATTCCATTTGCATCAGGTGCCTCTGGGGACAGTGTGAATATTGTTTACATGATGATACTTTTCCAAATTAAATTGAGTGTAGTTTAGTAAGGGTTTGTGTTGTATAATGTTAAAATCAAGGTAAGTATATAGAAATAAAAGCCACACAAAATGTCTCTAATTTATTTATCCCCTAAATCAAATCTTTATTTAATCAGGGTTGAAAAAGTTTCAATTTGCTCCAATACAATACAAAATTATAATACAATAACTTTATTTACTTGCAATTTTTTTGATTTGTTTTATGGATTGAATACCTCGTTTTCACCCATTTTTGATTTTCAAATCAAACTGATAAAGTATTGGAGCTCTAATTAGAAAAGACATTTGTTATATTTGCTTCGCACTTTTTGTATACAGATAGCTGCGTCACAAAACACGATTTAAATGTTACAACTAGCTTTAAATTACTAATAGATGGTTATGATATATTTTGCCCATAACAAACGCCAGAATGTCCCATCTCCGACTTTCGTGAACGCACCATTTTACTACAGGAAGTACAGCGGTGTGTTTTTGTCAGTCGGCGGTGCAGCGATCAGAGCTAAACTATAACGAGGTGACAACTGATGTGAGGAGAGATCCATAACAGACTGCCGAGATGACTCCACCTGCAACCTGATTGGCCAATATGTTGTCGGACAACTTGTCAATGTTTCACTGCTCAGTGATTAGAAAACAACACCGCGGGAGAAACACTAGCTAGGACAACAGCAAGGTAAGCTTAACGTCAGCTGTTCCCAGCAGCAACATCGCTCCTTACGATAAATAGCTTGACAGTTTTGTGTTGGGCAGTTTGATAGTCAGGGCACCAATAATGCTAGATGCACATTAGCAACTTTTTTATGTTTTAAGTTGGAAAACCCAGGATGCAACAAAACACGCCCCGTTACTTTAGCGTTGTTTGTGTGCATCCTCTTTGGCGTTTCCTAATCTTAAGTGTTGGACATCTCCTAAAAGCCGTGTGTAGGCTTACTGCAGTTTGGGAGGGGTGGTGTTCACGAGGTCTGGGTTCATGCTATTGATCATTGAGAGACGCAGATATGCAATGCTCACTTTGAAGTTTCTTAATTATTATAAAGAGTCGAATTTTGCGCACTTGGCACTTGTGAATCAGCTGAGAATTACTCCATCATATTACCGCTAGTGTTTTTTCTTCTTTTCTTTACCAGTGATCTTTTATTATGAGCATGTATTGATCCTGGAGTCAAGATGATAATAAGCTCCATTACATACGTATCGCATACATACCACCCTGAGAACATTGATGATATAAATTCAAAAGAAGAGTGCATCCTTCACATCTGACTTCGTTTCCTTTGTACTGGAAAGTATTGCATCAGGCTGTAGATCTGGTGGCATAACCTGGACTTCACTCCTGACAGTAAACGCACTGTTAATGAGGTTACCTCGGTTAACAGGCATACATGTTTTAATCTGTCTACAAAAGTGGATTTAGTGCCCACTTGCTGTCTGCGTTGGGCACTTTTGAGACATGGATAACCTCCTCTCAGCTTTTATTTCATGCATTGGTTGCTACAGGCTGGACAATACTTAATTCATAGTTTAAAGTAGTCACAGTTTGGCATATTTATTAAATAATTTACAATTTACAAATAACAGCACTAGGAATTTGTGTGCATTGAAGATTTAATTAAAATCTATGGATGCCTCGTATTCACATTTGTCTAACTGTGTTTTCTCTTCATTTCACAGCTGAGCAGTATGCTGGACGTGGGGAAGTGGCCCATGTTTGCGCTCCTTCCTCCTGAGGAGCTACGGCTTATTCGGCAGGCTTGTGTCTTTGGCAGTGCTGCAAATGAAGCCCTCTATGTCACAGTTAATGATGAGGTAACACTTTGGCTTTAAGCCCGGGTGCTGTAATCCTCCTGTTTACGTGAAGATGTGTTGCTGATAGACCTAATCTACTCTCATAACAGATTGGTGTGATTATTGACGATTTTAGAAGTGGACATGAAAAGTGTTGCAGGCCTCGGTCTCTGTGGTTGATGCTGCTTGCAGTTCCAGGTACAGAGATAAGCAGATAGAACGAGGCTATCTTTAGCCTTACAGGCCTAATACCCGAGCAAGCTCCATTTTTATCCTGTGGAAAGGTAAAGGCCGTGTCCCGTCTTGCCACCCGTGCTCATTTGTTTGTCCCTGTGGCCCAAGCAGATTGTGTTTTCGGAGCAGTAACTGGTGGCGGAATATAAATTGTATATTTTGTTGGGTTTGCTTAAAATGGTAGGGTACATTGCAGTTAGTTCTTAAGTTTATATTATTTCTATAGAGCACACAAGTATTTCTGAAAACAAAATCTCACAAAAGATTACGTTTTGTTTGCAGGTGTAGTTTTACCTGTGTGTGAATAAGCACTGAAATGATTAGTCCATTAATTAATTAATGAATTAGTCAGTTGACACAAAGTCAAAATCTCTGCATTTCAAACTTTCTGACATTTTGGAGACACAATTGATCAAAAACATAATAATAATAGCAGTAGTGTAAATATAATTAGTTGCTGGCTAGTTGCATATTTAAGAATTCAAGTGGGGACAGTTAAAATATATTTGAACATTTAATTTACTGTGAAATGACTTGTCACACTTTTGACTCTTCTATAACTACAAATCATAAATATAATACAAAGTTTTGATGTTATTCGGCATCTTCCCAGTATGTTGTCTCAGCAAATATTTTTGTATTTGCTGTGGTGTCCGTATATATAACAGGATGTGTCATTTTATTTATATTGGTACCATTTCATCAGTGACCTTTTGCAGGTCTTTGCTCTGGGCACCAACTGCAGCGGCTGTTTAGGCCTCGGAGACCTTCAAAGCACGATAGAGCCGCGCCGGATTGATGTCTTGTGTGGAAAGAAGATCGTGTCCCTAAGCTATGGAACGGGACCACATGTGGTTATCACTACTGCAGGTAATCCAGTCCAGAAAAGCTGTGTTTGTCCCTGAGGGGTGCACGGGTATGACATCACAAACAACAAGACGATGCATGCAAATGTCTAGAATCTGGTTTTATGTCAATGCTGCCAGTACACTATCAAAAATCCCCCAATTAGAACAAAACAGAGCTAAATATATTCATAGTAGATTATTAGAGTCTAATAACTTGTATTCATATGAGTATAACCTGAATACTTTCTATCCTGCTGCCTTTAAATCATGTGAAGTCGACTGCTTCTCATCTAATGATAAAATATTAACCATCGAGGCAACATGAGTGAAAGTTTGCCTGCTGCTCCGTAGACGGAGAGGTGTTTGCTTGGGGCCATAACGGCTACAGCCAGCTGGGCAATGGCACCACCAACCATGGACTGACCCCCGCCTTGGTTTCCACCAACCTCCTCAGCAAGAGAGTGACAGAGGTGGCCTGTGGCTCCCACCACACTATTGCCCTCACGACTGATGGAGAGGTAACCTGTCACCGGTTGTGTCCTCTCGCGAGTTTCTTCTCTGCTTCATCATCTGCGTGTGTCTCGGTGTGACGGTGAGCGTTTCTCTCTGCGTTCAGGTGTTCGCATGGGGTTACAACAACTCGGGCCAAGTAGGTTCGGGGTCTACGGCCAACCAGCCGACACCACGGCGGGTTAGCAGCTGCCTGCAGAACAAAGTGGTGGTGAACATAGCCTGTGGTCAGCTCTGCTCTATGGCTGTACTGGACAACGGAGAGGTAACGGGTCACATCAGTCTGCATGAACAGCAAGCGAGTCAGAGCTACCAGTAGGTCAATTGATTGGCGGTGGGCATATTCCCTCTTATTTTGAAGGGGGTTGGCTAATGCAAACGTGTAACACACCTGAACACAGGACGGCATGGCTAATCATTTTATGTTCTTATGTATATATTTTTTAGAAACATACAGATTCATTAGAAGTTATGTTTTTCTCCACCAAGAAGACCGTGTTCATCTCAGAATGTATGCACTAAAAGATATATGCAGAATACATGCAGGTAAAAGCTAACAGAAACAGAAAACAATTAGCCCTAAACGTACATAAAACAACCAATGCCTTGATGTAGCTGTGTGCGTCGTCTAAATGTGTCCCCTGTGTGTCTGTAGATCTATGGTTGGGGCTACAATTGCAATGGACAGCTTGGTTTGGGCAACAATGGGAACCAGCAGACCCCATGCAGGATCGCTGCTCTGCAAGGTGTCAACGTCGTGCAGGTAAGAGCCGAGGGAGAGATGCAGCTCCAGTCTCCAGTTTTTGATGATTCATCTCTTAACATTTAGCTCAATCCCTTGCGTACACAGGTTGCCTGTGGATATGCGCACACGTTGGCACTCACAGACGAAGGGATGGTTTACACCTGGGGAGCCAACTCCTATGGGCAGTTGGGAACAGGCAACAAGAGTAACCAAGCTCTCCCCACCCTAATAAACACTGACAAGGAGAGGTTAGTACCTTGTCCAAAATTAGCACTAACACCTCCCCGCCACAACAACAGGTCACTGAGGGGCCCCATGACAAGATCCTCGGAGATTTAGCCGCTAAATGCCTCAAAGACATAAATAGTTTAACATTATAGTGTAAAAAAAAGACGTGATTTCCGACTCTAGAGAAGTATTAGAGAAGTAGCGCCCGTTGTAGAAATCTATTTGTCTAGGATAGAATGCCTCCGTTGCCTCTTTATGAGACGTATTTCCTCATACAACCTGCATGAGAAGGCTGTACATTAGTAGTATTTTAAGGTTTGACATTCAGTTTTTATTGCCACCAGAATGGTGGAGGTGGCTGCATGTCACACCAGCCACACGTCAGCTGCCAAGACGCAGAGCGGGCAGGTTCTGATGTGGGGTCAGTGTCGAGGTCAGGCTGTGGCCAGCCCCCACCTCACCCACTTCAGCAGCACAGACGACGTGTTTGCCTGCTTCGCCACGCCAGCGGTCACGTGGCACCTCCTCTCAGTAGGTAAGAGTGTTATGGGGAAATAGGTGTTTTTAAACAGAGCCCAAGACTCCCTATATCATCCTCAATAGTTGACATTGTCCCATTTACCCCCCCGATACTGTGGGCCATAGGTACACATTCCTGGAAGCGCTTTAAGAAATAAACAGGACAGTCTGTTTCCTGTGCACATCAAACAGACATGTGTTTACCGACTGATGTCTTTTGAACTCCGCTCAAACTGAGGAGCAGGAACATTTCACTCTGAGAGCTTTCTTTTTTTTGTTTACACTGCATTTTGTGATGCAGTGTAATCTGCTCAACTAGCAAAGCCACTGAAATCATCGGCGCTCTCATGAGTGCAATCTGTTTCTGTCCGTCACCTGTTCAACTGAAGAGCAAGTGTGCCGGAGAGAGTCGTATCTATAGGCTCATGAAACATTTAGTTATTTACTCGTTCCTAAAGTAAGAACTCACTTTTCTTTGTTTGTTTGTGTTTCCCAGATGGCGATGACTACCTGACCGTTGCCCAGTCTCTGAAGAGGGAGTTTGACAGCCCAGAGATTTCCGACCTTAAGTTCTTGGTTGACGGGAAGTGTATCCATGTTCACAAAGCGCTGCTGAAAATCAGGTACAGAAAACAAGGACCCACTTTTTAGTTTTTGCAACTTCATATTGTTTTTTTGCTTTTTTTTTTTAATGGTATTTTTTAGTGCAACATTGCCTCCTTAAACATGTATTTACAAGTCCAGCAAATCAAAACAACACAGTTCCCATTTATTCTGTGTCTGCTAAGGGGTACAATTTAGTTTAGACTGTCTTCTTAATTTGGTTCTTATTTGCACAAATTAAGAATGACTTTTGGATGCACGTAATCATCCTTTGTCTCCAGGTTCTCCTCTCTGATGTTGGGCCTCTTTACTCATTTTCTTCTTTGCTTGACTCCGTTTTTAAGAGATGATTTTCCTTTCTTACTCACCAGAGCATCGTGCTTCTCCATCATGACTTTCATATTGGTCACATGAGTCTATTTTTCACATTTGGAGGTTGTGTTTGGTCATGAGTAATAGAGGTGCTTGGTATGCCACAGTGGGATTTTCAGAGGAACAGAAACACGCTTTGATGTTGCAGAATTACGTGCTTGTTAATTACGGAAACATAAAATCAAGAGGAAGAAATCATTTTGTTAATCGTGCAGCCATCATGACAGCAAACACACTGGCCTTCCTATGATAATGGCTTCAACATATACCGAGCCAATGCTGCGTTGCCTGTGTTTAAACTCCGTTCGACAGTGTTTCCTCATCTTTCCTGTTAATGTCACGGGGAAGCAAAGGCAGACCTATTGTTTCCTGCTTGTCTTTTTATAACCAAAGCCTCTGCGTTGCAGTCACTTGCTCTTTTGCACCGTCAGTAGGAAGGAGCCAGACTGTCTGCGACGTCGCCCCTCGCGCCAACACGCTCACACGCAGCTGTATGCAAACCGAGCCAGACGCGTGCTTTGGCGAGATCACATGCAAATGACACGCTTATGAGATGCACTTCGAGAATGAAGATTCAGTTTTTTGCTCAACCGCGTCCTGAGACGAAATGATAGGTGTGGGTGGGGGGGGTGTTTTGAGCCAGTAGAGTTTAGCAGCGAGGGAAAATGGTAATCAGTATTTATAATGCAGAGGACTAGAAGGAAATATACTGTGGGCTGTAGTTGTTGGCAAAGTGCTTCAGCTTTGCTGCAGGAAGTATGCATTAAGAGTGAGTTTTAACTTAGATTACAGGAATACATTTCCTTTTTACTCTGACATTACAATGTTACAGTAACATTTTCAGTATATTACCTATAGCTGTTTCTACATACTTATTTTAAACTCTTGGGGTAGTGCTGGGATTCAGATATAATGCTGTGGAAGAGGAAACACGATTTACATAAAATTCAGACAAGTTGTGAACTAGAAATAGAGATATATTAACTTTTATTTCCATATTTCCTTATCTACTAATCACATATACTTCACGTTCCTACTGAATGATGCTGTAGTGTTTCAGATTTTTACAAGTATTGTTCCTTCTTGATTGGCAGTTTATTCATATAGTCGGCCCATTTATTTCCATACAGTATGAACGTTAACTATGACATGCTTGCTTGAGCTGTGTGACTGATCGCAGCAAACCTTGAATCTCATTATTGTTTTTCCGGCAAATTTAATTTCATTGGGTGGTAATGCAATTTGCTGCAAGTGCAGACTGCACTGCGCCAGCTCACAATGATGCTATAACTTTGGCAACAGGTCAGTGTAAACCGTGGTGTGCCTTCTGGGAGACTAGGATATTGTTTTTTTAATTACTACCGCGTGATAGTGATTCTTGCGGCAGTAATTCAAACTGCTGTCAAGCACACGTTCATTACAAAACACATTACTCTCTAAATCCCTGGTGTGGTATCTTTTACGTCACCGGAGCAGTCCGATCCTTTTCTCCCATCTCCAGGTGTGAGCATTTCCGTGCACTGCTGAATGAAACCGATGAGGATGCCATAGAAGTCCACCAGTTCTCATACCTGGTGTACCGAGCCTTTCTGGAGTACCTCTACACGGACACCATCAACCTGCCACCAGAGGATGCTATTGGTACGCCCGCACAAGGACCACAGTCCTTTACACACTGAAAGGTCTGTGCAGAAGTCCCTAACCGCGCTCACCTGTGTGTTGCTCTCCCGTGTGCAGGCTTGCTGGACTTGGCCACGTACTATCGAGAGACCCGGCTGAAGAGGCTGTGCCAGGAAACCATCAAGAGAGGCATTTCTGAGGAGAACGCCATCACTCTGCTCTCTGCCGCTGTCAAGTATGAGGCGCGGGTAAGCTCATAGCCCCCTGGCACACAGTCAAACACCGTGGGGGGGGGGGGCCTTCTCAAGTAGCTAGTCAGTTATACTCCTCAGCACTGACCAGACAGCCCTCTTCATTTTTAGGACCTGGAGGAGTTCTGCTTCAAGTTTTGCGTCAACCACCTAACGGCTGTCACGCAGACCCAGGCCTTTGCGGACATGGACCACGACCTGCTCAAGAACTTCATTAGCAAAGCCAGCCGCTACGGGGCCTTCAAGAACTGACTAGAGGGCCCCCGTAGCGACGGACTCGACGTGATGCGGTCTCGGTTCACTGAGGCCCTGAGAGTCGACCCTAGCCCAAAGTAAACACCAGGCTGATGAGCGCTTCAATGTCGCTGGGGATGTTAACACTGGAGATGCAAATTGCTTTAGGTTCCGCCCTCTAACTGATGCGTCCGTGTGTTGCTGCCCTAAAACTATCCCAAACACAATAGCTGCTCGGGGCGTAAATATTGGGTGTCCCCACTCACTCAGTCACGAGCCAACAGTGCAGAGGCACGAATAGAAAGTGGTCTTTGTGTCATTGACAATAGGCTGGGCTACTAACTGGAGGTGTCTGATTGGTTTGATCAACAGACGGATGGGGTGCCTCATTACAGCCAGCTCAGACACAATGCCTGGAAACGCTGCTCGCTATTCATTGCATTACAAGGGGTTTGGCGTTTGAGGTGTGGGACAAATTATCAATGCGCATATCGCACTGTAGCCATGAATTGAGCCTTCAAGTTGTGCTGCTTTTCTGTGAAGCCTTGATTCTCCAACACCCTGGATTGAGAAGTAGTGTTTAATGAGGAAAAACACAAGCGCTTCTTCTTTTTGAGAAAACTTGTGATGGACACCCCTTTTTTTTTTTTTTTTTTTTCCTTCTTCTTCTAAACAGCTGTAGCTTGTATCTGGTCAATGATACCATCTGTTCTCTTGCATAACTTCATTTTGCCATTTTGTTTTATATTGTAAGTGTTCACCTTTGCCATCCAAGCTTATGGTTACTGATTGATGTCGACTGACATTTGCACTGTTTTGCTGTCGACAGTTGGCAGACAGGTGCAGTCGGTTACACTCGGTGTGCAGCCGCAAACAGTGTCTGACTCACAGGAGCATATTGAGTCCTGTGTAGCCTGTGGGTGATGTCACACTGTAGGTGCAGCTGATTTTACAGATGTTTCATTTGCAATTTGCTATGTTTACAAATGTTTTTTTTAATTTTATTATCATTGTCTGTATGTTGGCAGCAACATTCTGGATCTTTTTACAAGTCTTGCTGTGTGTCAGTCCCCCGGTAGAACCTTGTGGGAACTAAATAGTGCCGGCTTGGTGGAATCGCCAACTGACTGTTAAATATAAGACCACAAGGTCTTTAAACGTAGTCACCAGATAATTCACCAGATACATCTAACTAGAAATGTAACAAAACGCTCCTACTTTTAACAAGCCAATTATTGTATTTTGTTTTTGTGGAATATTTTGATAATTACTAAAGAAAATGCCTGTGTGTTCTCATTTTGTATGGAAAAAAATGCTGTAATCTGCTGACAGTGACACAAAGGGTAACATTTGTAATTTGAAATATATTAAATTGAGTAACTATGAACTTTGACGTATGTATGTGTTATTGCTGTAATTGGTTGTCTGTCTCTGGTGGAATATTTTGCAGCCTCCACAAATATGCATACCCGGTGTTTAAATACTTTATCACATGTATTTTTAGCTACAAACACATTACTGTGAGAACCTTGTGATTAACCAGTAGCAGCTCTAAGACATCGGGGGGCAGTTTGTTTCACTTGAAGATCTTTTCATACTTCTGCATGTTTGTGCCTGCAGAGTACCTGCAGAGTACCCAAAGGTAGAGGTAGAGATTTTCACACCTGCTTCACTCTGCTACCAAATGCTTCTACCAAAGAAATCAAATTCTTCAAAATCAAAAGATTCAGGGCGTGGTCGGAAGCACAGGGACACCGTACAAGATGTGGCAATCTAATATCGTGGTGTGTAGTACATATTGAATTTGGGAATATATTTTTTCTCAGAATCTGGCAAATAATTTGATTTCTTACTGTCTCAACAAAACATTATAAGCTTCATAGTGTGCTGACCCCTAACAGACAGCATGTTTGGAAATATCGTGATGAAAGCCAGATCAGCAGCTCAAGGATGATAATTCAGTTTCTCCGTTCCAGCTAATGGCTGCTCCCAAAACAAATGATGTTAGGTTTATGTGCACCTGGCTTTGAGGATAACGCCCACTGTGATCCACAGTGTATAAGACTTATTTGGTGTAAGGCTGTCTGCTGCTTTTGGCTTTGTATTTGCTTTAACGTTGCATTACAGTTGCCAGAAAACATACATGTTACGTGTCTCTTATGGAAAGGGGCCTTTTAACAGTATAGAGTGCAGAATTAGGCTGTCAGTCGAGTTAATATGTTGTTGTATGGATGAAGTCTCAGACTAAACATATGTACATTGTCACAGAAAATGACTCAACGTAGCTGACACGCAAGTTAAACGGTTTCACAAGAGAATGAGGAACTGCACTCGGCTGCCAACGGTAACTGGCACTCTGCCACAAACAAACCCCGCCGACACTGCGACAGAAATGCGATACATCATGGATTCATTTGATCCCAATAAAGCCCTTTGGCTTTCCTAAAAAACATATAAGAAGAATTCTGATCTCTTACTTGATTGGAAAATGACTTTGACTGCATTCAAAATGTAACTATTCAGAGCCACGTGAATTGATGTGTAAGAAGCATTTAAATGTTCCCGGTCGGGATGGAGTTCATTTTATAATATTTTATAAGATGGTCTTACATGATGTACGTAAAATCTTGATCTGCAAAGGCCCTAAAGCCACCAGACAATATGCAGTTGAGAAAAACTATTTCCCTCTGTAATGTAGAAGTAAAAGTATGTCACAAAAGATGGCTGTACTCAACTACCTCAAAATTGTACTGCAATGAGTAAGCTTACCACCAACTTAATTTTCTATAATTCGAGATCAAGAATCACCTAGAACTTCTGCTTAGAGGTAGTTCAGTCTGGGCTAAATGTCAAGCATCCTCTGTGTTGACAGGAAGTTGTAGGTTTGATAGAAGAGTTGCACCTCTTCTGGTTTATACACGTTGGTAACTTTGCTCTCTCTCAGGGCCAGCTCGGGTCGGCTGTGTGGTTAGCTGCTCTACTCACTGCTGCTTGTGATAACAACACCGCATCTAGTTTCTGGCTGTAATAGTGTGTTAGTTTTTTTTTTGAGTCTCATGCAACAGTTTCTGTGAAATCTGTAATCGAACATCGACTGGCTTCTCTTTCCCCTCCTAAACACCTCTCTACATTGCTACTCAAGCATGCAGTACGGCTTGTTTTACCCTCGAGACAACATTAACATCAGTGGTCTCACAGTCGGCTCTCTCAGGATGACATTATGTAGTAAAACATGTACATATAGCAGGAGAATGAAGTGGCATCTGGATGGCTATTTCCGGTGAAGAATTGCTCGAACACGCCGAGCTTCATCCAGAAAATGGAAACAACAGTCGAGGTCTTTAGATTCCAAACATGGTGTTCGGGCTAGCGGTGCCAGGAGGCCGGACGACCCCGTTCATGTTTGTTTGAAGTGAAGCAGAGCTTAACTAAAGACTTTCCGTCTAAGGTGCATGCCATTTACTTACATGCAACACTACATGATGAATCTAAGGCACAAATATTGTAGGTCATGCTTTATAATAAGCTACTCGGCATGCAAAATCACTAGTTACTGATTCCCAAACCACTTTACCTACCCATAGTAAATATAGCCTGAAAATGAGTTAGTTTAGTGCTGTTGGTGGTTTAGTTGTCGGGGCTTTGGAGCTACAGAGACTGTCAAGAAGAAGTTTTTGTCTACTCGGTGTAGACAAAAAGTTGTCTACACCGAGTAGATAAGACATGTGGTAAAAAGGCTTTTTATACTACTGTATATGCAGTCAGTGGTTTCAGTGATGGAGAGTGAAGTATTTGTGGGTGAGGAGTATTTGTTTTACAAAACAGTCAAAAGCTTGAGGCTGATAAGGCAGTGTGGGAGAGCACCAGCAGCACACGCTTTTCTTCTGTGTGTTTATATTTCAAATGTCAAGACAAAAAAATGTGACCGTAGGTGCAACTGATAAAGATGATAAAGTTAGAATTCTCACTGTCATGAAAAGCTTTATTCAATGTGTTGAAATCCGGAGAAGGGTATTACAGCCTCACTGATGGCACATCTGTTCCCTTTTGTGCCTTCTCTGGACATTTTAAAGCTTTTAGTCTCTTTGGTGAAACAGTTTTATTTTCTATTCTTGATGATTGTAGATGTGTCAGTGTGGCAGTCCTGAAACACTCCCTCGGCCTCAGCGGTTCGTGTACAAACTAGTTCTGTTGGTTTGTGGCCGTTTCGCTCGTCATTTGTTTATTTGTTTCGCCACCACAACTTTTGTGCGGCCTCTGTTTCCAAGGTGAACGTGAGGGAATGAGCCGAAAAGCCCTTTGAGTCGCAGTGAAGCTGTCCGTGGTCCAGCCAATGTCTAACTTTGCCAAGTTAGACATTTGTTCAGCAGTTTTCATTTGGGTTGCTCATTTTTCGTATTGCAGGATGTGTTATTTTAGATCTTCTTCAAGAGGTGGGATTAAATCATTGTTTTGAAAGTCATGTGGGAGTGTCAAGTCTTAAATCTCCTAAATCCCAAAGTTGAGCCCCAAATCCAACCTATTTGGGGTTTAGAGTCCAAAACAAGTCCTTGTGTTTCATCAAATGTGATGACATTTTATATTGTGACACACAACCTCATATTATTTAGCTAATAGTAATATTGTCATTACTATTTATTTACTGACAGGGTACACTGGGTGTGTTTTTTTCCATGCTGTGCCAAAAACGAATTCTAGTTGCCTGCCCATTAAAGTGAAGTGAAGTCAAGTAACTAATAGATTTCTGTTTAAATTAATAATTCAACATTTTAGGAAGTGCTGTCATTCCCTTTCTAGCTGAGAGTTCGATGAGAAGATTAACTCTACTCTTCCATTATGTACGTAAAGCTACCGCTTCGACCCAGTTAGCTTAGCTTAGCACAGAGAGAGGAAACAGAGAGAAGCAGCTAGCCTGGCTCTGTCCAGAGGTAACCTCACTAACACCAGCAGCATAAACAATACATTCCCCCCCTTTGACTAATATCAAAGCGGTTACCCGTTGACTGCAGGTTAACCATATTTTAGCACATTTCCTCTTACAGTTCTGGTCTACGACACGTTTATCCAGTTATTGGTGTCCTGACCAAAATGTGCTCCAGGCTTCTGTTCAGTAGAACCAGTGAGCTAAGTGTAGTCATTCTCTAAAACAGGTTTCAAAGCGTGGGTGTGTATCAGAAGTGTAATATTAAGGTTCAGTCTACATTGAGTAACAAACCTTAAGTGTGAAGTCACATTCCTGCTGCATTCTTTTAACGATATTTGTGATGTTTGAAGACCGTCTCTGATTATCTTTACACAACAGTTATTCTGTCACCTGCTATCTTTCTCGTGCCTTTTTTTCCTTTCTATTTTAAAAGCCTTCAGTCTTGGCCTTGGAGGTGCCAGACAGTTTCCTGGCATTGTGAGAAATGTACCAGTCAAGGGATTTCAGGCACATGTTTTTGTTTAGCGACCGCACACTCGCATGTGAAGAGCTTGTTTTTATGTGCTGGATGGAACTATTTTGCGGGCGAAAGACAATAGTACAGGTTTTTCTATTTTTCTTGAACATTTCATTCTAGCCTTGATGGTGTTTATTTTGCGGTGGAGCGACAAAGAGAGGCACAGTGGCCATAAAACACCCACCATCTCTTTGATTCTCTGCAAGATTTCCCTTCATTTGTTTGGCTATTGTTGGTAACTCTGTGAAGTCAAAATGAACCGCTGTGGAATTAGTGCCATGTAGCTCAACTAGAGCACATACGCTTGTATCACTGGAGTCAGTTACAAGTGGGGAACCGCTGGATAAGTTCCCCCATGTCTGCATGGTTTTTTGTTAGAGATGCACTTGTTTTAGCTGCAGGACACACATTCGTTTACAGACGGGAAAACCCCCAGTAGGTAATATACGTACATCCCATTTGACACAGTTACAGTCACCCACCAGAAACACACTCAAACAGTTTAAAGTATTCGCTCACCGCGCTGCCTATCACAAAGCTGAGAGCACTTTCAAGTTGTCTGAGACTAATTATTGATAAACTTCACATTCCTCCCTGCTAAGCTACTTCACTCGCAACAAAGGCCTCAATGTTTTTACTGGCTGCCAAGTGGGGAGTTTCTACTAAAGGAGAACTTGAATGCTTTTTTCGCAACGCATGTGAAGAGAAAGCTGTGGGCATGGGCCGACACGGGCGCCTGAAAAACCACTGAGTAGAGAAAGCTTTCTATTCCGTCTCTATGTCCCCTTGCAGAATAAAACAGTGCTTCTTTAGCAGAGCTGCTGCCCACACAGGCTGTCAAAAACAACAAGGAGACAGTTCAATTCTGGTGCTCCACCCATCAGACCTGTGGGAGGCCTTCATCCCCTGCAATTACAGAGGTTTGGTGAACTTCTCAGGCATGTTTGACCTCCTGTCTTTATTGACAGCTTGACTTATGAGGAAAAACAAATCAATCAGCAATCCAGGAATTAAATTGTCTCGATTGTTTCGTTACATTTCTCTCATGCTTTACAGAGATGAAGTATTCAGAGTCTTTATTTAAGTAGAAGAAGCAACACCTCAACATAGAAATACTCCCTTACAAGTCCTGCATTCAGGATGCTACGTTAGGTAATAGCAGTAAAATATACTTAAAGCGTCAGAAGTAAATGTACTTGTTGTGCAAAACAATGGCTCCTGACAGTTTTCTATTATTACAGTATCATATTATTGGACTTTTACTACTGTAAGCAGCATTTTATGATGCAGCTAGTTGAGATGGAGCTCATTTTAATTGAGATATAATTATAAAAATTTAATAATATAGGTGATATAATAATGTATAGTCTTCAAAGTAATTCGTAATTAGAGACGCTAAGTAAATGTAATAAAGTAGAAGTAAAAGTAGAAGTATAAAGTAGTATTTGAATAAATGTACTTATAGGTACATTCCACCACAGATGCTGTAAGGGGTTGTACGGGGTTTAAGAAGTCACAAAATCATGAATAAATACATTAAGAGGCCTTTTATCGTCACTCAGTACACCACAGCTTAGAGTCAGAGCTGGTCTTTTTATATGATTAAGTTATGTTTCAACTCCAATACAGCTCGAAGCACTTGTTCTGCTTTAATATCTAAAAATGTTTTGATATTTCTTGGCCCTATAAAGGCACACTTTTAAACTCTACTTGATACAGAATATTGCTCAATAATAAGCTCAATATTGGTGGTATTACATTTAATATTGCCATTTGTTTAACTTTTGCTCTCTCACTGCTCAAGTAAGAATAGTTTAAAACATTTCTATAAATATTTATTTCATTTACATTTATTGATGTATCAACATGTGTTTATATTGACAGTATTCCAGCATGTGTTGTAAACTTTCAATGAATTCCCTCACCATGCGGGGTGGTTGATTCCTACTCCCAACTGTAGAGCAGACAAAGGAGTAGGAGGAGTTAGATGGGAGGCAGTGGGAGGGCTCACCACAGCTGCTTTCCCTTCCAAAGTACAAAACCTGCCTGTGATACCGGCACAAAGGAGAAGAAGAGCTCTGTCTGAGTGTGATGCCTGCTGAGCAAAAGCTTGGGAGGCTGTCAGAGTGAGAGAGACATACGGGGGAAGGAGAAGTAGACCTACTGAGGGACTCAGTCAGGTAGCAAGAGAAAGAAAGAAGAGGGAACCAGTGAGACACTCACATTGTGACACACTCAAATCTCCAGAGCTCGTCTGAATGAGCCTGGTGGTTTGTAGTGAGGACCTTGTGAGAGAGGAGGAAAGCTAACAACAACTTTGCTGCTTTGGAACTGAAAAGGACAAAACAAAAATACAGGACTGAGTTTTGACAAAGAGAAAGGATTTTGCCATGTGGACATCTCTCTGTGTGGGCCCTGAATGTGGATTTACCATCATTTCTTTTGTGGACTCAGCGGCTCCTGCTTATTGAGGACGTCTTGAGTGAAAAGGCGACGCATTTTGTGTGGACTGATCCATGTGAGTAAGTGAAGCTCAGTCTGCAACTTGTGGGCTGCAGCCTGAGACAGGACAGGACAGGGGGAGGGGAGGACGCTCCTGCCTGAGTCTCTCTATCCTCTGGGAGGGGGTCTTTTCAATATGAGGTAACCCCCATGATAGCTACATCCAGATAGGGTCTCATGTTGACCATGTGCAGCAGTGCTCTCTAACATGGGGCAGTCATGTTGGAAAGAAACCTTTGTACCAATGGCCTGAATTATCAGATGACAGAGTGTCTTTTAATGTGTCCTGGTTTAGGACTGTTCTGTGCTTTACTCTCCATTCATGGTGAATTCATTGTACAGGGCAGCCCTTTCATTATATAGCCATTACATAACAGACACCCCTCGTCCGGCCACTCTTTGTCTCTCAGAATGTACAACAGTACCCTCCCTCCCGACAACTTCACCCAGCGCTGTGCTGAAAATATCTCAGCAAACAGCTCTACCTGTGAGAAGAACGATGGGTTCAAGTACCCGCTGTACAGCACCATCTTCAGCATCGTGTTTGTGGTGGGACTGATCACCAATGTTGTGTCCATTTACATATTCACCTGCTCCCTGAAGCTGCGGAACGAGACCACGACCTACATGATGAACCTGGTCGTGTCTGACCTGCTGTTTGTCTTCACGCTGCCTCTGAGGATCTTCTACTTCATCAACGGGAACTGGCCTTTCGGAAACACGCTCTGCAAGGTCTCCAACTCGCTCTTCTACACTAACATGTATGGCAGCATGCTCTTTCTCACCTGCATCAGCGTGGATCGCTTCCTAGCCATTGTCTACCCTTTTCGCTCGAGGGCTCTCCGGAACAAGCGCAACGCCAAGATAGTGTGCGTCGCCGTGTGGGTGTTGGTGCTCTCCGGGAGTCTCCCCACCGGATTCATGCTGGAGACCACCTCACGCGAAAACAACAAGACTAACGTCATTAAATGCTTCGAGAACTTCTCCTCCAAGCAGTGGAAAGCTCACCTGTCCAAGGTGGTGATATTCATAGAGACAGTGGGCTTCCTCATCCCGCTCCTACTCAACGTGTGTTGCTCCATCATGGTGCTGCAGACTCTGCGCCGGCCCCAGACCATCAATCGTGGGGGGAAGCTGAACAAAACAAAGATCCTGCGCATGATAATTGTGCACCTCTTCATTTTTTGCTTCTGCTTCATCCCCTACAATGTGAACTTGGTTTTCTACGCTTTGGTCCGCACTAACACTTTAAAAGGCTGCTTTGTGGAGTCAGTGGTGCGGACGATCTACCCGATAGCCCTCTGCATTGCTATATCCAACTGCTGCTTTGATCCCATTGTGTACTATTTCACCTCGGAGACTATCCAGAACTCCATCAAGAGGAAGTCTCAGGTGAACCGTTTGTATGACGTCAAGTTCTCTGAGGCGCTCCAGTCAGAAACAAGCTCCAACCTGCAGTGTAGCCTGCGGAACCTCAAAGCTAAAGTCTTCCACAATGAGTCGTCAGTGTGATGGCAGGGTTCCAACACACAACATGAACAATCCATCTTTCCTTAGAAAAATGAACCTCCTTCAGACAATGGGAAGGTTGTTTGTTTTTGGAGTGCTTTATGGAACACCTGCCAAAAGAGGTATTCTCTTCATCTCAGGGCAAATGTTTGGACTTGTCATTGACGGCCTCGGCTCTGCAGTATTATTGCTACATGCATCTGTGACTACTCATTATGACTACTCATTCATTTCACTTTCCTGTGGAGTATTTTGTAATTGTGTTAAGCACAATTACTCTGCATGTGATCATGAGGGGAATGTGATCCAGGAGGACAGTTATGATATTGATATTGAATGCTACTTGTGCCTGTATATTTGTAGATTTCTGTGGTAAGTTGTGGTGCTAACTTTAGATTAGCATCCATTAAATTAACATAAAGTTATATCAAGATATTGATTGTGCAGGGCTTCTTTTTTTAAATTGTGAATTTCAAATAATTCAAAAGAAGTGCCTTTTTTGTTCTTGCACCATTTCATTATCGCCTATGTCTTTATTGACCATTAAATGCACTGACACAGAATTTCACATACTGCACTCATGCCACAGTAATGAATAAAAGTCATGTACTGTTTAAAACAATTGCACCTGAAACCTTTTTTTGTCATTTGAATGAAGAAGATGCTATCTTTTGATGCTGGAATAGGAATGATTTAAATGTTGAACTTGGACCTAATGGACCAAAATTACATGTTGGTACAATATGTTTGTTTACAACATTAAACCTTATGACCGTTTGCACAAGTCAGGTGAAGATTGTAGCAGTGGCGTAAGGTAGTTAGGGGCCTCAGTGCATACTAATATGCCGAGCTCTAGTGCACACTAGCTACCAGTTATGAAGCATTGCTACAGGGGCTATGATGTTTGTGCCGAATGCAAATGCGGTGGCAAATAAGTGGAAGTAGAAATTTGGATGGAGTAAGTGAGTCTGACTCCCACTGGGGGGGGGGGGGGCAGCTTCCTGTGTGGCAATCAGCGGTGAAGGAGAGGAAGTCGTTATTAATGGGAACTAATAAAAGCAGACTATTCACATTTTCGGCCAAACATTAAATAAATGTGTATGAGAGTGTGGTGTAAGAACCACCAGGTCTAAAACAGCATGTGTGCCATTCTGATGTCTGCTTAAACATAGTGAGCGGATCGGTTTGGTATGAGATAGGAGTGAAAGCAGTGCAGCATCTTTTATGTTTAACTTAACCTCGATAGGAATTCCATTTTATCTTCCTGAGACATTTTGTTTTCCTCCTCCACAAGGACATGCTGTTTTTACTGTCGTCCCTGAAGAGGCTGGTCTTTTGATCAACAGGGAATTCGAATTCAAACAGTCATGCGGCATAGTTTGAAAGAAATAGTTGCTGACAGCCTTATGAAAAAAGACATCAAATTTAAATTGAAATAGATTTCTATTTGCAGTTTGATCGGAAAAAAACATACGTGTGAGATATTTGTCCTGTTTGTGGTGATATGGCATCAGTGAGGAGTCAACACAGTGTGAGAGTGAAGAGCAAGAAAGCAACATGGTACTTTAGCTTTATTGACATAGCCTGAAGGTCAAGCAGCAGCACTTTATTCACACCCCACCTATAACTCTGGTTCTGGAGCCATGTGAGCGACTCAAGGACGGGGGTCAAAGACCCCGGCCGCTATGAAAACAAACAAGCACACTTTGACTCGGAGGCGGTTCGCGTCATCTGCGCTGGAAGCCATCTTCGTGCGAGTATAGCCGCGACTTGCCCACATGCTTACACTGAGCATCTTGAACTCGAGCTTGTCCATTTCAAGAGGATGTTTTGGTTTCACCACTCTGCGTGGATGAGTCAGGCCGTGGGTAGTAAGCACACACGACCGTTATCTGAACACAAGGTGTTCATGGCTGTTGTCGTCTGGGCCAAAGGTCAGGGCAGAGATAGAGGAGCAACCAGAAGAATTCGCAGTACAGCTGTAGTTGAGATATGTAAACTAAATGGAGGAAGTAAATACAGTTCTTACTGACTATAGCCACATTTACTCAGAAAAGAAACCAGCCCCTTCCTCATAAACGCTGACTGATGTAACTGCTAGATGTTTCCTAATTGTTCCCGCTTCACAGTGTTGCTTAAAACGCCAAGGACATGAAGTTGTGTATACCCTGAAGTCTTGTGGTTGTGTAAGCTCTCTGTATCAGGGATCGGACCCCCCCTCACGTGAGCCCAGCAGGCTGTCCTGCATACACAACAGTTATCTAATCAGCCTGACCTCTCCTTCACAGCGGGCTGCAGGGAGAGAAAACACAGACGCCACACTGCGTGTCATCACGTACACTGTGTTCCGCGTTGCTCTGGTCATTTCTAAGACGGGAGCGCGCATCAAAGCCTTCTCGTGCAGATCCGGGGATCTGGGAAATGTTATTGTGCGAGTGATGCGAAGAAACTATAAAACACTCGTAAAGATGTATTCTTCTAACATTACGACATTCAAAGGTTGACATCCAATGCTTTTATGTACTTAATAATAGGATTTTTGCATTGTTCAACCTTTAAGAATCTATCATAAAGTAATTTGTTTTAACTAACTGAAACAAAAACAACGTTTGTCTTCTGCAGGGTCATCACAGTCAGTGTCTCCCTCCAGGCCTTTCTCTTCCCCCTGTTGGTGAACCCAGCATGTTCTCTCCAATGAACCTCTTAATGGCTTCTTTGAAGTTCTGTCAGTCGCAACTGACCGAAGATCCTCTGGTGTGCTGAGCACTCGTGTCAGGAGTCATCTCCGCTGGGGCATTAACGAGGACCTCTCTCGGTCTGACGTGGGATCGTGGGTGAGGTCTTCACTCCACAGCTCCGGATCACATGACAAGGGCAGCGCCTGTCCCACTGAATGGCGCTCCGCAAAGGGTTAATCCACCGTGTTCCCAGTGCATGGCTCACAGGATGAATTTAAGAGGAAATGGCTGTCATTAGCCTGATACGGCCAAGTGCCCATTTAGAGATATGCAACATTTTCCCACAATTAGACCTACATTAGAATCACATTCCACATCTCTGGTATTTATAGTCCCAACTTGGTTTTTGGGTAAACAGGTATTATTATTGCTCGGTAAAACGTTTGTCACCCCCTGGGGAGTGAGGGGGGCAGATTGCTTACTGGGAAAGAAGAAGGCAATAAAAACACACAATGAGGGAGACAGAACATCGCATACCCATCAGGATGTGGTTTAACAAAAAAAAAAAAAAAAGGTTGTTGTGCTTGTGCTAGCACAACAACCTCACTCATTCTGAAATCTGAGGCAGCACTGAGCTAATAACTAGCGGTGGAATGGGCTCAGTGTCCGCAAGGAGGGAGGTAGGCTAAATAACTGCACCAACCAGTCCCATGTAATCCTCCTTAACTCCTTGTCGCCTCGGACCATAAACAGGCTTTATCAGTCCCTGGAGGAGTTATTTGACCAGATCAGCTGTTGGTCACATAACATCTTAGGAATGAAACAGAAAGCGCAGAGAGAACGTTGATGAAACATTCCCTTCATCTCGGTGCCGTGGTGTTTACAAAAAAAAGGTGCAGCGAACAGGAAAGCCAATGCTTGTCTCTATATGCATTTCAGCAACGCAGACAGGAAATTCAATTTGGGCATTTCAACTGCTTTTACACAAAGGGTGTGTGCACAAAGCCCGTTATTGTTCTTCCATCCATCGACTGGATGAGTCTTTACCTTCAGGCAAGAATTAGGAGCCTGTCTGTGCCATGCGTGACACATATAGAAACAAAGATCAGACAGAAGATGAGGTAACAAATACCAGGCCGATTTTGTCATTAGCAAACAAGATAATACCATGTGACTCTCCCTATGTGTCCCAGCTTGATCTGTGACTTTATGGGAATATGTGTTAACAAGTTCTGAAGAAATCCTTCCCATGAGTCCAGCTGGGAAAACTCCCACTGACACATGCTGTAGCACTCATTTCTCATTTTCCTGGAAACACAAGGTTGTCTCTACCCCTGAAATCTACAGATCCAACAGCACACACAATATTCTGCCTTTTGTTTCGGTCTGAGTGTTTCAGCCTGACTGGATCCAGTATTACAGTCTGTTGGAGAAAAAAAACAAAAAACGTCATGATTAGGTGTGTTCTGCTTGATGGGACAGGTTGGGCTCTCCTTAACTGGGAGTCCTTCCTCTGGGAACTCCTGTGGATTTGAACAATGTCTGGCCATCCAATGTGGACACATTAATCCTCCCCAGCAGCCACAGCTTCTAACCAGAGAGGACAGCCCACTGGTTCCACTGACAGCCTCATGAGAGAACGTAAAGGGTCACCGGGTCAAACCCAACAGCAGCCACATGTCCTATACATGCCCCCGTGTCACAGTACACAACATGAAAACTCACTCAAATGTTGTAAAACTTGCTTTGAGACAATGTAAAATGTGATACACTGCTACATGTAACATCACATTAATGCATTCATGAAAACTTAAATTGCATTTAAAACGATATTGTCAAACAGCATGAAAACGTATCTATGATTCTGAGTTTAGTGTATCACACTAACAGGTTCATATAGTTTTGGACTAATTTAAAGGGTCACACTGTCACAAAGTTACTATTTTGTTATTAGCTGCTGCCTTTTCTGTTCAGCTCTGAGAAATGCTGAATCCTTATCTGCATGTTCACCGTGCTATTGACATTGTAAAAGAAATACCTCAGATTTAAGCTCAACTGTACAGTCACCACATTAAGAGCCGATCAGCACAACTTGTAATGAAGCCTGAAAATGTAATGAACGTAATAAAGCCTGGAGTCCACCTATTAAGTTTTACACATGGGCTCCACTGAGCACATGGCAGGATTAGTGAAACCTGCGCCCCGCTAATGCTACAGTACAGGCTCAAAAACAAATGCCCGTAGCACACCCCGCAGCACAACCACACATAAAAGCTGACGCTTACAGGTCAGCCTTGAGGTCAGCATGTTCCCCATGAGGAATTTCCACAGACCACACAATACTTTCCCCTCTCCTCCTCAGCAGAATTCTGTCTCCTTTAACCACAGAAAATCACTCTTTAATTCCCCAATGAGGCGACGTCCTCGTGTTCTCAAACCCGCTGTTGTCTGAAAGCCACAGCTCTTACTGAGACTTAATCACGATTATGGTTTGCACCGTTATTTAAATTTGGGATTTGTCTCTCATGAAAGAAGATTGCTGGGTTGTGGCGTGACACGGGTGGACGGAAACGCGCTGCACTGACACAGAGGTGGTGGAAGTTTTGAGGGTGTGTGGTCAGGCTAAGGTTATTTGTTACAATGTTTCCAGAAACAAGAAGAATATCGTGTGTCACTTTGCGTTGGATCAGTTAAGGCTTTTATAATAACATTTTCTGAGTCATTTAACCGACATTTAAATTTGTAAATAAAATTCCTCAACACAGCATGGAAGGTAGGAACATTACGACTCACAGACATATGACTAGCACTTGTCCATCTTGGAAGCTTGAGCAAGATTCTAAACGCATCATTAAATGCCACCTGAATCTTTTTCATTTTGGCTTTACTACAGCTGCACCACAGGTGGGCTGTATACAGTGAAGTACAGTAGGCTCTGAAG